GCTTATTCTAAAAAAAAAGTTAATATAATAAGTATATTCAAATAGTTTAATTAATCGTTCGGGTATCCGTGATCACCTTCTGTACTTTATTTGGAATTTTCAGATGCCATTTTTAAGGATCTTTGATTTTGATTTATTAATATAATGTCACTTGATTGGTTCTCAATTAGTTCGATTAAATCAATAACATCATTATTATCTATTGACATATTATATCTATTAATTGTTTTGTTAAAAAATGATGTCAAAAAGTGGAGTGCATTCTTTTTGATTTAAATTTTTGGGTTTCTTTTTGGGAATTTTCAATATATGTTAGAGTAATGATATGTTTCTTTAATCTAATTTTATCATTAAGATGATGTAGAGTTATTGATTTTTGATAACTTTAACAGTAAATATGCTTATTATCATCAAATAAATTGTATGATTTGTCCATTAAAATTTTTTTTAATAAGACTTGTCCTGAAAAATTCTCAAGTTCTTGAAGAACTTCTGCTATTTTTTGTTCTATACTTTTATTTTGAGTTCTTTTAGATAAACTTTCACTTTGAATTGCTATATATAGCATTAAATTTTATATAATATGTTTAATAAAAACTAGATTATATATTAAAATAAAATTATAATGATAAGAATACTTTTACCAATATAAGATTCAGTACTTTTTCCTTTCCTTTTTCTTGAATAAAATTACTTGTTATTCCAAAATACTCAAGTTTTTTTTGTTGTAAAACATCTTTAGAAGAACTGTTTTATTCACCAAAATTCATAATTTTTTTTTTTAAAAAAAGAAATCATTTACTTGAAAAAAAGATATGATAATGATAAATCAATTTTTGTATAAGAAATATTCATAATATGGATTTTTGTACATCGAACTTCTTAAATTCAGAGTAAATCTATACACAGAAGTAAAAATTTATTGCAAACTTGTACAATAAGGTAATTTTTATCATAAATCTGTACATCAAAGTAAATTATTATTATCTAAAATCTGTACTCCAAACTTCAACCAAATTTTCATATCTGTACAATAAGAACTGATGAACTTCACTACTAAATTATTAAATCCATACAATAAGATTCTAATCAGTATATTCAGGAGCCCTGCGCTGGCGAGTTTCTATAAATAATGAGATAGTTAGCCAATCAGATTCTGTATAGCTAAAAAAGAAACGTCATAACTCATGGAAGTGTTGTTATAGAACATTGATGGGATACTGATGGGATGCTGATAGGATATAGATGAAACAGATAAGACCTTTGAGATTTAATATGAGATAGGTTGGGACATATAGCTGGGACAACAAATCTCTGGGATATCAAAATATACATCACTGACTCATGGCGTAGTGTTTATTTTTTAATTATCGAAGTGAGATACATGTTCAAAATCTTGTGACTGAAATTTTCAACTGGAGCATCCTGCCAAAAAATAGTTATAGGAAAAAAGGTGCAAAAAAATCTTTATAATATTTTTTATAAAGTATTATATGAGAAAAATTAGCTAGGAGAAATATAACAAGTTAAGATCTTAAATCCTATATGATTTAATTTAATAAAAATAATACAAATAAACTATATATGATTACATGAAATTTAGATCTATATTATCCAAATTATTCTATTTGCTTAAGCCTAAGTTAATAAAAGTATTTAGATATATATTATATTAAAACCTAGTATTAAGATATTAAAACATTTACCTATAAAAGTTAACAAATCATTAGAGCTGAATACATGAGTAATATTTAGAATATACGAGGCTAAAATTCTTAAATATCCTTTAAGGTGGTTAAGTTTTTCACAAATGGTAAGGATCTCATCATTTGATCAAGTATGTTTATTAAACTGTTCACTAAAGCAAGTTGTATTTGTCATAAAATTATCATATTGCTTATCATTCGCTGACTAAACACATCCTTTAATATTAAAAAGCTTATCGTATAATACTAATATATTTTTATAGTTCTTAACATTAATTTCATTGAACTTTTTGGTCAAATATGTTTTAATTTCATCATCCAAATCCATTTTCTTACTATAGAGTCGATTAAGAAAGGCATTTGTATTTACTTCTATGTTTTCTAAAGTAGAATTGATATCACAAAACTTCTTGCTAAAAATTAGTTTCAAATAAGTTTGAACCACCATACTGGCTTATGCAGAGTCAATATTAGTGAATTGTTGTCTACTAATATGTAAAATGTGCCAGATAGTAGTAGTGAAAATGGATTCAATAAATATTAAAACATAAATCATTTCAGAAGTATTGAATAAGACTTAAATACTTTGCATTCCTATTTATGAATAAATGATATGATTAGATATAGTTATTTCAGGAAAAGGGAAAAGCAATACATTACCATATTCTTGAATAATTTTTGATTTTATTTTTTCTTGCAAAAAGGATTTCGTACTGCTTTTATAGGTTTTGAGTCTCTTATGACGCAGAACAATAACATAATCTCATTACAATAATTTTAATAACACTAGTAGTTTTAAAAATGTTCTATTATTTTTTTCAGTGTAAAATTTTACTAGTCATTTAGACGCTTCGCATATTTTTCCTTTTTGATGTCCACCAGCTCTTCCACGATCAGGAAACACAAAATATGTAAAAATTTATATGGTTTAGACTAACATGTGATACTCAATGAATACCTGAAGGATGTCACGACTATCACGTGAAATACAGGTGGACTTCTAAAAAATAAAATTATATTTTTTTATTAAGGTTGATATGGCCAAGTCAATACATAATTGTATAAAAATCTTATGGGAGGTTAACCCGAATTCATGAATTCAAAAATTGGGCTTCTTAGTCATATTTGCTCCCACAATTCTTATTATTTAACGATAACTTGATATAATATTATCTATATCTTCTTTTCTTAGTTCTGAGAAAAAAGAAATGGGAAGTATGATTCTATATATTTTATCTATTCTAATTTCATTAAAAATTTCATAAATAACATATCTTTCTATAGACAGTAGTCTGATCAATGTTAGGAAAAAGACCTTCTACTTTACTATTAAGAGTCTTTCAAGCATTATGATTATTACCAGTTACTTGTACTAGTATTCTGTGTCAATCTACAAGTATTGCTTTAATCGTAAATTAATAATACTACTAGATGATTAGCATTTCTTGCATTTGTTTTTGCATTCTCAGATTCAAAATATAGATTATAAATTCATTTTAAAATCTCACTAGAACTCTCATCCTGATGACTTTGTAAATCAGTAACTATAAAACTTTCATTTGGGATTGTGTTTAACTCCTGAATAATAAACAGAACATTGCGTTCTAAATATTCTGTACGTCCATTTTGTCTAGATGAGGCTGATTCAATTTCTCTAGATAAAAGAGCTGATAAAGATACTGATATTTCAGTTAAGTTAGTAGGTCTTACAGAGCAAGTCAGATTTCTACATCTTGTATTTTAGTTAAAAGAAACGGTAAAAGAATCTGTTGTGTTTAATTGACTATTTGATTGAGATTTGCATCAGTATATGCGAAAATTAATGTGATTCAGCAAATTCTTCTGAGATGAATGATCAACATACTGTATTATTTGGAAAGTAGTTCTAGCGTTTCAAGCCTTTCTACCTACTCATTCAAAGGAAGATACATCCTTTATGATTTGACTTCTTCTTGATTTGTAGGCAAAAGTTTGTAAAATATTTTTCTCTATGCTTTCTCTCATCTTTCTTGTTACATTTAGAAAGCTTTCTAAGCCTTTTTAATTTTTGATAAAATTCTCTTACCAATTCATTACCTTGTTTCAGCTCTCCTGTTTTGTATTTTTGTATTTCAATAGAAAGTGTTAGATCTCTAACTAAATATTTAATTATCTCTTTTAATAGTTTTTTAACTCTAAACTCTTCTGCACGCTTTTTATTATCTGGTGATAATCTGATGATGAATTTTACTTTAACGTTTACATCATTCAAATCCTTATTCTAGACTATGGCATAATATTTTATTGACTCAAAATATTTACTAATAGAGCTATCATCTTGTCTGAGAGCTGGTATTTTAATATCACTAAACAATCCTTTTATTGTTATATTTATTGCTTATATATTTATGCTATACTTTCAATCAAAAAAATCTTCTGAACTGATAATCATCACTCTGGACTGGTTAGATTAGTAGAGTACCATTCTACTTGATTGGCTAATATTCTATTACCAGCTCTCGACATTAAGGTGGAAATGATACCTTGAGTCAGTGTTTGTTTGTTTATAGCTATAATGGGGTGATTGGCATCAGAACTGTTATAGATATATTGGAATTAGGTTGTCAGAATCTCTGATGAAACTGAGTTCTAATATTAGCAACTGAAGACCATATTAATATTAGTTCTACCACTTGCTCTATCTCAGCTCAAATATCATTCAAATCCTAATAATGCTCAATATGGGTATTTGGATTAAGTGAAACGAGCTAATCTACAGCTTCTTTTCTAATATTATTACACCTTTCCAAATTAAGATACTTTAAATTAAAACATGAATCAGCAATTTCTTTAATAGTTATATCGGTAATTTTACAAAAGTTAAGGTTGAGATGCTAAAGCCTTAGGCAAGAGCGAATAATATTACAAATTGATGTTTCAGAAAACTCTGTGCGTCTAGAAATATTTAGATATTCTAATCTATAGCATGAATTTATGATTTTCTATAGATCTAGATCATATACTTCTTGAGTACGAAAACTCCTAAAGCCACCTGACTGATAATTGTACATATTGAAATACTTTAGATTCAGGTATGAACTCGCTATCAGTTCTAATGCTTTATTACTAAATCCTATGCTATTTATGAAACTCAAATGGGTTATATTTGGGTATGAATATACCAATGCTTATAATTTTTTTATCTGAAAGTGAATGGTATAGTAGGTAATACTATAAGACATCTAATAAAATTAATGATCTTCAAATATTAATAAAAATATATTGAGAAATTATTTTTTAAAAAACTCAACATTAATTAACACTTCTTGATAAATTCTATTTAACTATATTGAGATAATTTAGATCAGATTACTACATCAAAAGTTATAAGTTTTTTAAAATATATAATTTTATGTCTAGTTTACATTTAACTGTATAATTTTAGCCTGCATTATGATATTTCAGCCAGAATTACACATGGTATATTTATATAAATATCATTATAATATTGTAATACATATAAATTTGATTTGTAATCAAAAATGTCGAGAGTAAAAAATAAGGTTTTATGCCTGCAAAAAATAACTGCAAAAGCAAGACAACAAAAGGTATATATAATAAACTAAAAAATTTTTTTTTTAATATTGTTACGGTCAGTTCTTTAAGATGCTTATGAATGATAAGTGAAGCAATATATATGGGTGGTAAGCAGAAGGTTTAATTTGATATTTTGATTTAGAAGAGTGTCAATACATTAATAATTTATTTAATAACTATAATAATGGAATAATGCCTCAGTTGGCACTCTGTACTATCAATTATATTAGAGGGATTAAACTAAATTATTATATAAAACTATAAGTCAGACATACTGCTAAGCTAAAGAAAATTGTCCTCTATTTATATAAAATGAAAATATAAAGTTATCGAAGATATAAAAAAAATAAATATGATAAATAAAATATATTAAATAAATAAAATATAATAAATATATGAGATAAATAAGATAAAATAAATAAAGAAATATAATGTATAAAAAAAATAAATGCTATAGATGATATAGATGATATAGATAACATATATAATTTCTTTGGGATTGACATCATCATTTAGATCATCATCATCCATATCTTCTTTCATGTAACAATATATTTATATGGTAATTTTAATCTTTTTTTAGTCCTTTAAAAATATAGATGATAATGAAGAATATAATTCTTTTAAAAATGAAGAACTAGATATGAAATTCGAATGGAAAGATGAATATTTTAATAAAGAACGTTTATTTCAGATTTTAGTTAATAATATGAAAAATTTAAAATCATCTAAACGTCTACTTACATATCATGAAAATTCTGTTAGAATTAAAAGAAGAAAGAGGAAGTCTATATGTAAAGCTATTAAGGTTAATGATCAAAATGTTAGACAAATTTTTTATATTAAATAAAGAAAAAATTAATGATAAAGGGAAAATTAATGATGAAAGAGATGAAAAAGATAATGATGAAAGAGAAAAAAGAAGTGATGATAAAGAAAGAGATGATGAGTCAACTAATCAATTATTAAATGAATATATCATAAAAATCGAAAATAAACTTAAAGTTGATAATGAAATAACACCAGGCCAAAAAGTTCAATTTAAAGCAGTTCAATACTTTTTTAAATTACAAAAATCTGGTCATCATAAATTGGAATCTGTAAGAATTATTGCACAATTACTAAATTGTGGGGAATGGTTTGTGAAATATGTTCAAACTTAGGCTAAATCATATATGTTATATAATAATATTTCACAAATTGGCCGTGATAAATATCTAGGAAGAAGTTTGTTTGAAGATGAAGATGTTTGGCTTAAAGTTTCATCATATTTACGAAAAACAAAATATAATATAACAATTCAAAATTTTTGTGAATATATATTATCAGAAATATTTCCATCAATAGGAATTAAAACAAAAACAACAATAAGGTAAAAAAATTAAATATTCACCTTTATATTTTTAAATAATATTTAATAATTATTAATTATAACTTTAACTTTAAGCACTCAAATAGCAAATAGATGATTGAAAAAATGGGATTTGTTTATGACAGATATCAAAAAGGAATGTATGTAGATAGACATGAAAGATCAGATGTAGTTAAATATCGAAAAAAATTCCTTAAAAAAATTAGCATGTAAGTTTACTAAAAATAATAGATTAAATAAAATTTAACTTAATTAATTTAATTCATTTAATATTATAATTTTATTTCAGATATTAAAATCTAATGTCAACATTTGAAGGTAATGATCTTGAGCAACAAATTGATTCAATTTTAAATAGTGATGAGAAGTTACATATACTTGTTACTCATGATAAAACTACATTCCAATCAAATGATAGTCTGAAATTTGGATGAATACCAAATGGAGAACAACCTTTATGTAAAAAAGGTCAAGAGCGATCAATTCATGTTAGTGATTTTTTGACGGATACTATTAAAAGATTAAAATTAAATGATGATCAAGTAAGAGAGGTTGGAGATTTCATGCATCATGAAGCATATGTAATGATCAATCTAGGTAAAAATTTTGATGGATAGTGGAATGTAGATAAATTGATTGAACAGATAATATATAAATAAAAAAAAATATAATATTATAAATAATTAATTGATATTAATATTAATAATTATTTAGATAGAAAATTGGGCTATATCTATTTTTGAAAAAACTCATTCAGATGCAATTGCCGTATTTGCCTTTGATAATTCTTTAAGTCATGGTAAATTTGTCAATGATGCATTAAACACAAACCATATGAACTTGAATCCAAGTAGAAAATAGGTCAAATTATGTAACACAATCTTTAATGGGCAAATTCAACATATGAATTTTTCAGATAATTATTATGACAAAAATTTATGTGGAAAACCTAAAGGAATGAGAATTATTTTAAAGAGAAAGGTTTGTGGTCATCAACAGGGTTGAAAGCATATTATGGTAATAATGAATATAATATTAATTCTTAATATTATACAAGACATATTCTTTTAAATCAACCTGATTTTCTTAACACTAAACCTTTAATTCAAGAAAGTATTGAAGCAAAAGGTCATAAGATTACTTTTTATCCAAAATTCCATTGTGAACTTAATTATATTGAAATGTATTGGAGAGTAGTGAAAAAGTATACTCGTCAGCAATATAATTATAGTTGGACTAAATTACAAAGAGTTGTTCTGCTTGCATTAGATTCAGTTCCTATTAACTATATTAAAAAATATGTTAGAAAATCTGCACGATATATGGATTGTTATAGAAAAGGTTTAAATGCTAAATAAGCTTAATATGCAGTAAAAAAATTTAAGTCACAGATCAATACCTAATTCAATTTTGACAGATATTAATCATTTGTGTAGTTAAATACTTAATTATAATTAACTTAAATATAAAAACATGTAATTTATTATAGTCATGTGATATATTATATAATAAAATAAAATTTGGCTGCTTAAATAAAAAGTGAATATCTTATTCTGTCACACACTGTAGTATAAAATTTTGAGATAAGATACATTAGAGCAATAAACTGGTATTTACTTTTTACGTACTAGCTTTATGAATTTTTTCAATTGAAAGAGATTTTTTGCACATTCTATCCTTATGAATTTATTTGATCAAAGACGATCCTTTGCATAGTAATTATAATCATTTGAAAGAGATTGTTTAAAATATAAGTCTTTTCCCTTTAGCTCAATATATTTCTATAGAATAGGAGTACTGCATCTGTATCACAATTAAGAAACAAATAGGGTAGGATAGAGTAAATTATTTATCGCTAAAAAATGTAAAATATGTTCTAATAGTTCTGGTATAATAAAAATACCTGAATGCGTCATAAATATATATATTCTATCTTAAACAAAAATAAAATTCCACAATTATGCAAAGTGCCTTTCGGCCTGT